AAAAAAAAAAAAAAAAAAAAAAAGAGGACATACTGTATGCTTCCATTTATATAAAATTCTAGAAAATACAAATTATTCTATAGTGACAGAAAGTCAATTAGGATTTCCCAGACGGGGGGATGGGAAGTACAGGAGGGAGGGATTATATGAAGGAGGAGCCTCAGGAAACTTGGGGCTGATGGCTATGTCCTTTATCTTGATTGCCCGATGGTTTCATGGGTATATTAACATGTCAAAACTTATCCAATTATACACTTTAAACCTCTGTAATTTACCATATGTCAATTGTACCTCAATAAAGCTGTTTTAAAAAAGTACATCATAAACCAATTTAACCACTTCTACATATACATTTCAGTGACAGCAGATGACATTCTTTGAGTTGTGCAACCATCCTCATCTTCCTTTTCTGAGTCATTCCTCCCCCCTTAACATAAACTCACTGCACCCTAAGGTTCCTATCTAATCTTTTGAGTTGCTGTTGTTATGCTGATCCCATACAGATGGTTCTTAAAAGAGTACAACGCTCAAGGCAGACTTTTTTTTACTAGTTAAGCTAAACTATGTTGGTTTAAAGAAGACTTTAGAGAATATTTTTAGTTTAAGTTTTAAAAATTATCTCAGGGCAATAGTTTCAGGGGTTCATCTAGCCCCCATGGTCCCAGAAAGTCTGGAGTCAATGAGAATTTAAAATTCTGTTCTGCATTTTCCCCCGTTTGGTTTGTTGTATATATTTGCAAAAACAACAACAAAGTCAATTAAAAACAAAAAAATAAATTAAAAAAAAATAATAATAAAGCACTAAGGAAACAGCTGAACAGAGTGGATAAAGCCTGGTCCTAGAGCCAGAGCACTAGATATGAATTCTGGTTCCATTCCTTAGAAGGTATGTGACCCCAAGTACCTAACTTGTCCTCTCCACATCTCAGTTTCCTTTGCTTGTACTGTTTATGCATGGGCAGCACTTGGACAGTACCTGGTACATATGAGTACCACATATATAAGCAAGTGAAAGTGTTGAGCACTTGCCAGGCACTTAACACACATGAGTTCTTTTCTCCTTTTTCTCCCATAGGGCTCCCTCAGTTCTGTGCATGCATCTAGCTCAACCCTGTAGCAACTCATGATTAATCTGGAGAAACCAAGTCCTCCCTTTTCTCTGTTGATCCAATGACAAGTAAACCTTCTCTTGGTCACTGGAGTCACTACATGTCGACTCCCTCTGGACCCCCATACCGAGCCTGCCCACCCCCACCCCCATGCTTCACACCTCCAGGACAGTAGAGAGAGTCAGTGGAGGGAAAAAAACTCATTAGAGAGCTCTGTCTATTATTTTTTAAGGGATAGCAATTGCAGCAATCAGTAACAGAGGAATGGTTTTATAAATTATGGTATGTCCCAAGTATGCTACTATAAATTATTTATAAGTTCTCTTAGCAACATGGAAAAATACTTATGATACAATGCAAGTGAGAAAAAATCAGGAAAAAAACAAAATTTTTCAATTATAAAAAAAGAAGGATCCATGGAAAAGATGTACTCCAAAATGCTAATGGTAATTGTGTGTGATCTCTCTTTTCTGTATGTTCTATAAAGTTACCATTCATATTACTTTTCTTATGAAAAAATATACAATGCTTCACAAGTGTTTAGAAGTTATTTCAAAATCTCCAAAACAGATTTCCCCTAAGTACCAGCATTCACAATATATAAGATCATTTCTTACTCAATTTTACTATTCCTCTGCTTTGTTGAGTAACTGATACAATTTTGGTTTCTATTGTTTTATTTTAATTGAATGATATTTTAGTAAATTATAAATTGTAAAAAATTCCCTTAACTACTATTTAAAATAGTGTTTCTATGGGTAAAAGCAGCAGTTCTGGTGGCGCAGCAGTTAAGCGTTCGGCTAACCAAAAGGTCGGAGGTTCAAACTGACTGGCTGCTCCTCAGGAGAAAGATGCGGCAGTCTGCTCTCATAGATTACAGCCTTAGAAGCCCCATGGGGCAGTTCCACCCTGTCCTATAGGGTCACTGTGAGTCAGAATCGGCTCGACAGCAGTGGGCTTTTCTAGGTAAGAGAATGTACACAATGTTTCAAATAAAAACTATCAGATTACAATTCACTTGTGATCAGGGCAGTCGGTGTAACAGCCCTCTCAGGTAAATGGAAGCCGAAGCATTATGTTGCGTTAAAAAAGCCAATCTCATGTGGTCATGTAACTTTCTTGAGGTGACCAAATTACTGAGATGGGGAACAGATTAGTGGCTACTAGGGGTCAGGGACAATGGGGTGAGGGGTGGCTGTGACTATAAAGGGGCAGCAGAAGGAAGTTCTCTGTGGTGATGGAACAGCTCTGCATCTTCACTGCTGTGGTGCTTACATGAAGCTACGTGCAGAGTAAACGGGCGCAGAACCACACTCAAAGTGAACCAACGCCAAACTCCTGGTTTTGATACTGTACTATAATTATGTAAGAAGTAACCAATGGGGGAACTGAGCAAAGGGAATGCAGAACCTCCTGGCAACTTAACTGTGAATCTATAATTACTTCAAAATAGATTTTTTTTTTTTTAAAACAAGGAAAGCCAAGGGAAAATTTCCAGGGCTAAATGTGGGTAGCACAGTTTGTAAACAGATCACAAAGACAATGCAGTTTCTTCAGAATGATCTTCTAGTCAATGGATAAGCACTTAATGGTAGTTGCATGCGTAAGAGTCAGCTTTACTATGAATGGTCAGCCTTGTGAATGTCTATAATACCATAGTGAAAGGTAGCCTAGATCCAGCATTGCCAGTTACAACGCTCCTTACCCAGATCACTATCGTCATCCACCAGGATGATCTCATGAAGCAGGTGTGCTGGGGTCCGATCCACGACACTATGCACTGTCCGGAGCAGGGCGGAAAACGCTTCATTGTAGAAACAGATGACAACACTAGCCACTGGGAGATCAGCTGGGTACGACTTCTCTTTACAGCTGCACAGATAAACAGGAGAAAATGCTGATATTTTAAAAGGTGCAAATGTTTCACGTTCAGCCTCTTTCTTACATTATCATAAAGATTTTTTTAAAGCTTTTAAGAAAACAATGTGGTTTCTTATTCAGTAATTTTACAATTTGCTAACAATTTCCTCCTTATATACCTGCCATCCTGCTTATTTTTAAACTTGGTTTTTCTTTTTTGTGGAGAGGTTACATAAAAATGTTATTTTTACTGAAATGACTACAAGTTTTTAATGCAGCACTTGTAAGCCGATGTCCCCAGTGATGTGTCAAAAGGAAATACCAGAAATATAAGTTTGTATTTGAAAATTTTATTTTTTGCCCAATACTAGAAAAAGATTTAAGTAAACTATGACATAACAAGGTAAGGGAAGAACTGCCATGTATGCAACTCTTTGATAAAAAGGCTTAGGTGGCTTTAAACAACAACAAAACCATGAACTTAAAAGATAAAATCCTCCAATATCTGTGCCCTACCTTCCTCCTGGCCTCTGGCCATTCTCCCACCAGAGCCAAAGTGAACTACATTTCAGTCCCTTAAACAGACCACATGCTTCTACGCCTCAATGCTTTTCATACACTGTTCTCTGTACATGGAAAAACCTTCCTTGAATCATGGCTCTTCTGTGACACCTTCCCTGACCACTCTGTTTTTTGTGCTACCATCTGACCAATTCCTATTACACTGTTATTCCGGTGATACCACAATTACCTGCTGACTTATGTACCTCCCTGCTAGACTTAGCCTTGTGAGCCCAGGGACTGTGTCTTACTGTTTCCTTGCAGTGCCTAAGGCAGTGTTTAGCAAACACAAGGTGCTCAACAAATGTCTGTCTGTGGAATGACTCACTCACCATACTAAAAGCCTTAGAAGGGAATAAAGAAATACTGGGGGTTGGGGTGGAAGAATATACATATATATATATATATATATACAATGAAAATAGGATGGTGAGATTATGGGAATATTCTTTACTGACTTTCATAACTTTTTGCTATGAATCCAATAAAAAAATAATTAAAACAAACTTAGGTCAGAAGATTATATAATTAGATGTAATGAGCACCTCCCTCCTCTTTCCCACATGATTTGAAATTTTAAAATAGACACAGCAAGCTCTACAACTTTGTCAGCACAATCTCAGACCACGTGGCTTCCAGTATAATGAGACGGAAATCGGTCTTAGGGTTTCTAGTATGCTGAAGAATGAAGCCTCACTGCAAACATTGACACCACCCTCAGGACTCGGAGTGACAGGCACTAAAGGCAGAGTGCTGTTAGGAAGTATTAACAGAAGCTAGTAAGGAACATACGCTGCGTTCCTGGTATCTGGCACATCTCTACGGTAGCCCAGGCGGTTACTAATAAGCATATTAAAGGCATGTTTCTGATAGCCCAAGTCTCTCAGCTCCTGATCACGTTCATTAAAAATCATACCTGTAAAGGAAAGACGTTACTGTCAGTACATTAAATCTGGAAAAGATTACAATTACTGTTACGATACTATGATCTTAAGAAAATCCCGACTTTATCCTGTTATAACTAGATAACAGCCATGGTTCTCAAATCCAGGTAGTCTCCAGTTTCAAGAAAGTAAACTGAGGTTAGGGTCAAATTCTTATCAGCCTAGCTCAAACCACAAGTACACTAACCATAAATGAAATGTGCTTACTAGCCATAATCTTAAGAACATTTACTATATTCAAGAAAAAAATTTACCTGTGGGTAAGAAAGAAATAAATTTAATGATGATTTTTCTATAAAAGCAATAGACTACAGAATCAATTACAGGCAAGTTTTAGTAAGGGTCCTCCCCTAACAGAGACTACTCATAACCTTTCTATAACAAAGGCTTCCAAACCTCCCTGGTTCGAGACTTTAATCACCTCATAGTCAAGAAGTTCCCCCATAGATCTGATCAAAACCACTCTAACTGAACATCCTGGCTCTAATATTCTGTCAGAAATCTTACCCTTACACAGGGTCAGTCTTCTGCTGCTGCTCTTTCCCACATCAGACCTTTAGCCTTTCCTCACAGAGTCACTCCTGTAACAGCATGTCCCAAAGTCTGTTCATGGAAAACTAATTCCACTGGCTAGTAATAGACGTTCAGAGGAAAAAAATGGATTTCATGGTCAAATACATTAGGGAACTACTGGATTTGAAAAAGTCAAATAAGTTTTTTAATGGCAGGAAAACTCTGATCCTTTGGTATGTTAAATGCTTTGTGGAAATCCAGGTGTGAGGGTCTAGATATAGATAGAATGCAGTGTTTCCCCAATTTATCTGACCACAGAACACGTGACTAGCACTCCCAGATCCACTTTGGGAAACACTGCCTCTTAATATGCCTTCTCTCTACAAGTTTTTAAGCTGGAGCACATCCTTTTTTAAATACTAAAAAAGCTCTGTGCAGCAGTTTATACAGGATGAAAACCCTGTGGGAGCAAAGACTTTAGTTATGATCAAAACATCCAAGAAAAAAACAAAAATTGCTTGATATTCAGTACCTAGAATAGTGTCTTGCTCAAAGAAGATTCTCAGTAAATATCCATTGATTCAACAAACATCAAAGGACTACCTGATACTGAATTACTATCTAACATAGACCTCTTAGGAGCCCGGGTGGTGCAGTGGTTAAAGCACTTGGCTGCTAACCAAAAGGTCGGCAGGTCAAAGCCATCAGCTGCTCTGCAGGAGAAAGCTGTGGCAGTCTGCTTCCAAAACGATTTACAGCCTTGGAAACCCCATGGGGCAGTGCTACTTTACTCTGCTATGAGTCGGAAAAGACTCAACGGCGGTGAGTTTGGTTTTTTTGGATATAGACCTCTTGATGAAAAATTATTCCATATTAAAACATCCCTTTAGAAATGGAATGTGTGGCCAATTGCTTCCATGAACAACTACCTCCTCTGCCATGAGAACTGAACCGGATGATGCCTAGCTACCATTATTGAACGTTTGGATTCTAGAAAAGAATCTTGATCAAAAAGGGGAAAATGCACAACAGAATCTCAAGTTCTCGTGGAATTCAGATTTTCTGGAGCCACTGAGGCTGGATGAATCCATGAAACTACTGCCCTGAGATAATCTTTAAACCTTAAACCAAAAATATTCTCTGAAGTCCTCTTTAAGCCAAACAATAGTTTAGCTTAACTAGTAAAGAATGTCTGCCTTGAGCATTGTGCTCTTTTAAGATCTTTCTATATGGGATTAAACTGTCAACAGCAATTCAAAAGATTAGATACAAACTTAGGGGGCAGTGAGTTTATGTTAATAGGGGAGGAACAATTTGGAAAAGGAGGGTGAGAATGGTTGCACTACTTAAAGAACTGCACATGTAGAAATTGTTGAATTGGTGTATGTCCTGCTGTGTATATTCTCAATAACAAAAAATAAAATAAATTTTTAAAAAAAGCATCCCTTTAGGAAACAACACAGGTGTCCATCAAAAGGTCAATGGATAAAGAAAATATAGTCTATTCACACAATGGAATATTACTCAGCCGCAAAGAGAAATAAAGTCCTGATATATGGTACAACGTGGATGAACCCTGAAAACATTATGTTGAGTGAAATTAGACACAGAAGAATAGGAATTTCATATGATCCCAGTTATATGAAATATCCAGAAGAGGCAAATGCACAGTGGTTGCCACTGATAAGTTGTGAGTTACTGCTTAATGGGTACTGGGTTTCTGTTAAGAGGGATGAAAAAATAAGGAAATGGATAGCGGTTACGGTTGCACAACATGATGAATGTAATTTAATGTCACTGAATTGTACATATAAAAAGAGCTGAAATATCAAATGTTTTTACATATATTATCATTAAAAACACAAAAAACAAAAACAACAAAATCACTCAACTTACCTTTCTCCCTCTCCTGCTCAAATAAAATTACCATCAAACCTCAATTGCTTAACATGCCAGAACAGCTATTTCAATTAATTTTTTAATTCACTGCAGATTAAATCAGAAAATCTATTTTCCAAAATATACTTTTTCACTGGTTCTTCTCCTTGATTCTTTAATGATAACGTCCTATCCAGAAATCAGCATATTTTTAAGTAAATTCCTTCTAAATTAAGTTTCCTTTGTATGAGGAATTTAGCTTTTTGCACATACATAAAAATTTACCATTAGTGACATTTAGAACACCCACAGTGTTGTACAACTGTCACCACGACCTAGTTCCAGAATATTTTCATCAGCCCAAAAGGAAACCACATACCCGTAAGCAGTCACTTGTGACTACTCCCTCCCCAAGTCTTGGCAACCACTAGTCTGCTTTCTTTCTTAATGAATGCCTATTTTGGACATTTCATATAAATGGAATCATACAACATGTAACCTTTTGTGTCTGGCTTCTTTCACTTAGCATAATGTTTTCAAGATTCATCCATACTGAATGACGAATCTTGACAACATTATGCAATCAGCATGAATCAAACTTCATTTTTTTTTACTGCTGAATAATATTCCATTGTATGTACATATCACATTATGTTTACCCATCATCTGCTGAGGGTCACTTGGGTTGTTTAGCTGTTGTGATTAGCGCTGCTATGAATATTCACATACAAGTTTTATATGAACATCTGTTTTCAATTTTTTGGGGTATATACCCAGGAGTAGAACTGCTAGGTTACATGGTAATTCTGTGTTTAACTAATTGAGGAACCACCAAATTCTTCCACAGCAGCTACATCATTTTACAGTCCCACCAGGGTTCCAATTTCTCAACATCTTCACCAACACTGTTATCTTTTTTTTTTTTTTTAACTGTTGTCATATTCATTGTAGTGGGTGTGGAGTGATAACTTGTGGTTTTGATTTGACTAATGATGTTCAGCATCTTTTCACATGCTTGTTGGCCATCTGTATGTCTTCTTTGGAGAATGTTTATTCAATTCTTTTGTCAATTTTAAATTTGGTTGTTTGTTGTTGAGTTTTAAGAGGTTATATATTCTGGATACTAGACTTATCAGATATATTATTTGGAAATACACTTTCCCATTCTGTCAGTTGTCTTTTCACTTTTTTTTAATTTAATTTTTTATTGTAGTTTAAGTGAAAGTTTACAATTCATGTTGGTCTCTCATACAAAAATTTTTACATACATTGTTATGTGACCCTAATTGTTCTCCCTATACTGTTACTGCACACTACCCCTTTCCACCCGATTTCTCATGTCCATTCAACCAGCTCCTGACCCTCTCTGCCTTCTCATCCCACCTCTGGACAGAAGTTGCCCATTTAGTCTCATGTATCTACTTGAGCTAAGAAGCACACTCTTCACAAGTATCATTTTATGTCCCACAGTCCAGTCTAATCTTTGTCTGAAGAGTTGGTTTCAGGAATGGTTTTAGTTCTGGGTTGACAGAGAGTCCAGGGGCCATGACGTCTGGGGCTTCTCCAGTCTCGGTCAGACCATTAAGTCTGGTCTTTTTACTAGAATTTGAGTTCTGCACTCCATCTTTCTCCTGCTCCATCAGGGACTCTCTGTTGTGTTCCCTGTCAGGGCGGTCACTGGTGGTAGCCAGGCACACTCTAGTTCTTCTGGCCACAGGATGATGCAGTCTCTGGTTTATGTGGCCCCTTCTGTCTCTTGGGCTAATGCTCTCCTTGTGTCTTTGGTGTTCTTCATTCTCCTTTACTCCACGTGGGTTGAAACCAATTGATGCATCCTTAGATGGCTGCTCGCTAGCTTTTAAGACCTCTGCCGCCACTCACCAAACTAGGATGCAAAACATTTTCTTAATAAACTTTGTTATGCCAATTGACCTAGATGTCCCCTGAAAGCATGGTCCCCAGACCCCTGCCCCTGCTACTCTGTCCCTCGAAGTGTTTGATTGTATTCAGGAAACTTCTTAGCTTTGGTTTAGTCCAGTTGTGTCTTTTCACTTTCTTGACAGTATTCTTTGATGTCTGAAAGGTTTTAATTTTGGTGAAATCCAATTTATTTTTTCTTTTGTTGCTTATGCTTTTCATGTCATATCTAAGAAACTACTGTTAAATCCAAGGTCCTGAAGATTATCCCTGTGTTTTCTTCTAGGAGTATTATTACAGTTTTAGCTCTTACATTTAGGTGTTTGATCCAGTTTGGGTTAATTTTTGTATACGGCTGCTGGTGTTGCTTTTTTCCACTTCTTTTGATTTCTTCCTTGCCTTGGGTCCAACGTCATTTTTTTGCATATGGAGACCTGGTTTCAACATTTGTTGAAAAGACTATTCGTTCCCCATTAAACGGTCTTGGCACCCTTATCAAAAATCAGTTACCCACAGATATTTGGGTTTATTTCTGGACTCTCAACTCTATTTCATTGATCTTTATGACTATCCTTACATAGTATCACACTGCTGTGAAAAGTTTTGAAACTGGGAAGTGTAAGCCCTCCAACTTTGTTCTTTTTAAAGACTGTTTTAGCTATTC